ACTTGCAATGAGTTGTAAATCAGAGAACCGAGGAGAAATTTAGAGGGATATAAATAAAATGTAATGTTTTTGAAAGTCCCGTCATAACTGCTAATCCTTTAGTCGTTAGCCGTCTGTCTTCCCGTACTGTCTTCTCTAAAAATTTAGTGTTTTCATCCGTAATGGCCTCGGATGGTCGTGCTGGACGCAGTTCATCATCAATTGATTCTCCTCCCAAACGAAATTGTTTCACCCATTCTTTTACGGTAGTGTATGAAGAAGAAGAATGCCCGTACACAGCATCCAAAAGTTGTTTGATTTTAGCCGGTGTCTTTTGTTAAAAATTTTATCACAGCTTGATACTCGATTTTAAGCATTTCGAAAGTTTTTTAACAGTTTGACTTTATTAGGCTATATCACTGTAACAAAATGAAATAATATTATAAGGAAAAGTCGAGTAATGTGGGTAGGCCAGAAATTTTTGGAAATTGCCTAATACGTCCCACTGCTGGGCAGAGGCATCCTCTCACTTCTGAGAGGGTTTAAGGACAAGAAAGGGTCCGTCGCGCTGCCCCGATGCGTGTTAGCTATTGCATCCAATCCCGTGCGTTATTTGTAATCTCGGTATTTGCGAGGTCTATAATTTTCGCTCCTGCTGTATCTCGGAATTTGTGGGATCCCGCAAGTGCAGGTAAATGCTACATGAGCTGACCTGCCTATTGAGTGTTGCGTAAAGAACAAAGGTATTTATAAGTTAAAAATAAAAATCTGTAAGTATGCATTTACTCTTGAGAACCGTTTATTACTGTTAATTATAATGAACAACATTGCCGTGTAGCGGCGGTTAAGAATATCCACTACCCCATATCTTCCCGTGGGTGTCGTAAAAGGCGACAAAGGGAAACAGGCAGGAGATGGGCAGCAGCATCTTCCTGGTAAAGGCAAAATGGCAACTATGGCAATATACCCCCCATGATGAAAGTTACGAACAGACGGCCCCCAGTCCCCGGCGGCCCCGCTATTCCTGGCTACGGTGGCGACCATGGTAACGGCGGGGCAGGGGGTGCTATAAATCTCCGGTGGAGGTTCGGTTGCCATCTACAACGACTCGACCTGGCAACATACAACGCACGCACCCTGAGGACTGACGAGAAGTTTGTGGGGCTGGAAGAAGAGATAGACAAGTTAAGCTGGCATATTATAGGATTATCCGAAGTCCGAAGAGAGGGGGAGGACACGGTAATTCTCGAATCCGGCAACTTGCTCTATTACCGGGAGGGCGACCATCTGTCCCAAGGAGGTGTCGGATTTATCGTCCACAAGTCTCTCGTTAACAACGTTGTAAAGATTGAGAGTGTGTCGACGAGGGTTGCGTACCTTATACTCAGAATCACCAAACGGTATTCGCTGAAGGTCATACAGGTTTACGCACCAACTTCGGCACACCCCGATCAGGAGGTGGAGGAAATGTATGAGGATATCACTATAGAGCCATGCATTCCACCAAAACCCAATATACGGTGTTAATGGGAGACTTCAATGCAAAACTAGGCACAAGAGAGACTGGTAAGCTGAAAGTGGGGAAATTTGGAATAGGGCAACGAAACCCAAGGGGCCAGCAGCTGGCCGACTTCATGGAGAAAGAGGGACTCTTTATGATGAACTCTTTCTTCCAGAAGCGGCCCCACAGGAAGTCAACCTGGTCGAGCCCCGACGGTTCGACAAAAAATGAGATTGACTTCATTATGACGACCAGACGACAACTGTTCAGTGATGTCTCCGTGATCGCGAGGGTGAAAACCGGCAGCGATCACCGATTGGTTAGAGGCACACTGAATCTAAACGTTAAGTTGGAGAGGTCTCGTCTAATGAAGTCAACGCTCCGTCCCCCTCGTGCTCTAATCCAAAGTCCCGAAACCTTTTAGCTCGAGTGACAAAAGCATTTTCAGTGCCTAGAAAACTGCAATGAAGTGGACGATTTGAATGACAAGCTCGTGGAAACTGTCCATGCGGTCGGAGCTAAGTTCTGCAAGACCCGCCGCAGAAGAACACAAAAACTCTCCGATCACACTCTTAATCTCATGGCTGTTAGACGGGAGATGAAGCTACATTCTTCAACAGATTTGACAGCATACAGGCAACTGAACAGACAGATCTCCAAATGCATGCGGCGGGACTTACGAAACTTTAATTCAGCTCGTATTGAAGAAGCGATCGAGCGGAACCAAGGCTCCAAAGTCTTTGCCAGAGATCTGTCTGCCAGAAAGAGCCAACTGTCAAAGCTGAAGACCGAATTTGGCAGCATCATTTCCGGGGCACCTGAGATTTTGAGTGAGATTGAGAGGTCCTATGGGCAGCTGTACACGTCATCGTTGGAGCCGCACGCAAGTGTGAGTAACGATCCAAGAGCAAGTCTTATCCGACATTATTCCGATGATATCCCGGACATCAGTCTGAGCGAGATTAGGATGGCTCTCCAGCACCTTAAAAACGGCAAGGCCCCAGGCGAGGATGGAATTACAGCGGAGCTTCTGAAAGCGGGTGGAAAACCGTTACTTGAAGTCCTTCAGAAGCTCTTTAATTCCGTCCTCCATGGTGGCATTACACCGGAGGCGTGGAGCAGAAGTGCGGTGGTCTTGTTTTTCAAGAAAGGCGGCAACGCTCTCTTGAAGAACTACAGACCGATTTCCCTTCTGAGCCGCGTCTACGTGCTGTTTTCGAGAGTCATTACGAATCGTATTGCGCGCAGACTTGACGACTTCCAGCCTCCTGAACAAGCCGGTTTCCGAAAAGGCTTTAGCACCCTAGACCACATACATACCCTTCGGCAAATAGTACAGAAATCCGAGGAGTACAATTTGCCACTATGTCTGGCGTATGTGGACTATGAGAAAGCCTTTGATTCCGTCGAAATTTGGGTGGTGCTGCAGTCCCTTCAGCGATGCCAAGTTGACTGTTGGTATATCGAAGTGTTGAAGTGCTTGTACAGTAGGGCTACAATGGCTATCCGAATACAGAACCAGAGTACGAAACCTATCCAATTGCAGAGAGGTGTAAGACAGGGTGACGTCATATCCCCGAAACTCTTCACCGCTGCATTGGAAGACGTTTTCAAGCTTCTGGACTGGAAAGGATACGGTATCAACATCAATGGCGAGTACATCACTCACCTTCGATTTGCCGACGATATAGTCCTTATGGCAGAATCGCTGGAGGACCTAAGCACTAATCTCAATGACCTCAATAGTGTCTCCCAACGGATAGGTCTTAAGATAAACATGGACAAAATAAAGATTATGTTTAATGTCCATGTCACACCTATGCCGGTAGTTGTTGGGAGCACTAAGCTCGAAGTTGTTGACGAGTATGTTTACCTGGGACAAATAGTCCGACTAGGTAAGTCCAACTTCGACCGAGAGGTCAATCGACGGATTCAACTCGGTTGGGCAGCGTTCGGGAAATTACAGCACATCTTCTCGTCAGGTATACCTCAAAACTTGAAAACGAGACTGTACACCCAGTGCGTGTTGCCAGTGATGACATACGGAACTGAGACGTGGTCCTTCACTGCTGGCCGGATGAGGAAGCTCAAGGTCGTTCAGCGAGCTATGGAGAGGGCTATGCTCGGAGTTTCTCTGCGTGATAAACTCAGAAATGAGGATATCCGCAGTAGAACCAGAGTGACCGACATAGCCCATCGGATTAGTAAGTAGAAGTGGCAATGGGCCGGCCATATAGCTCGAAGAACCGACAAACGATGGGGAAGAAAGGTTCTCGAGTGGCAGCCTCGTACCGGCAGGCGAAGTGTAGGGCGTCCCTCCACTAGATGGAGTGACGACCTGGTAAGATATGCAGGAAGTCGATGGATGCAGGTGGCTCAGGACCGTGCTTTGTGGCATTCATTGGGGGAGGCCTATGTTCAGCAGTGGACTTGTGAAGGGCTGTAATGATGATGATGATGATAATGAACATCTGAACTAAAACAATTAACAAAAAACAAGTTAAGACTTCTTCTGTTGAAAATGTTCAGTTTGCACGCACGAGGTCGAGAGCTGCTCTTCGAACTAGGTAAGACACATCACTTTTATTTTATAGAGCGGATGTTGGCAAAGTAAACTATTCCAACTTTAATATAAATGTATGCTTATTTCCACAAAGTAACGCCTGATTCTATTAATTATATTGTGGATGTCCTTAAGTCTGTGGTTCATAAAAATATTCTGTATACAAGATAACTCGAGCCTAATTTTTTTTCACTATCATCAGAATCATGTAGAGCTGGTTTCCTGCGATAATCACTTCTGTAATCCATTTAAAATATAAAATGTAGATATATTCAAATATGACGTAGCTTTATAGGTATATTTAATCGATTTTTACTGCACTTCAGCGCGCACACTCACTCTTACATAGAAGTAGGTACGTAATTTCCGGCGTAGTTGAGTGAGTTTGTGTGATAGAAGTATGGTTTCCTAGTAAGTTTAAATTTTATTTTGCCGAGTTATAGGTTGTTACTCTTCATACACATTATACACATTATACTTTTTGGTAAAAAAAATAGTGATCGTCACATATTGAAAACGGTAAACTATGGTGTTTACTAGAAAATAAATTGGCTGTATTTAAGGACTTTGACGTTAGAAATAAATATTTGCCACTAATTTTTTTGTTTTAGTGTCAATACAATGCCTATGTGGGGAATATTTACATGTACCTATGTGGACATACATTAAATTATAGACTCCACTAGCTGTAAAATATTTAAATTAGTTTTCTTTTTTTCGCCTAAATTAATTTTTTACTTATGTTATTCGAATCTTTATGATGCAGTAATACTACGTAGTACTATTATTTATTCTGTGGTAATAATGGGATCTGTTCTCTCCCCGAATGAAATGGTCAAGGCGAAGAAGTTGTTACTCAAGTACGTCAATGTTTTCTCGTCAAACGAAGCTGACATAGGAAAGACTGGCTTAGTTCAACACAAAATAAACACAGGACAAGAATTGCCTATTCGTCAGCGGCCAAGAAGATTGCCTGTAGCACGTGAAAAGGAAGTGGAAACCATGATTGAGGGAATGGTGAAGGATGGTGTTATTGAACCTTCATCTAGTCCATGGCGTTCACCTGTGGTGCTGGTAAAGAAGAAGGACGGCAGCATGCGGTTTTGTGTTGATTACCGCCGCCTAAATGACGTTACGAAGAAGGACAGCTATCCCTTGCCAAGAATTGAGGACATGCTGGACATGCTTACAGGCGTAAAGTGGTTTAGTACGCTGGACCTGAAAAGTGGCTACTGACAGGTCGAAATTGACCCTAAGGACAAGGAGAAAACTGCATTCTCCTCAGGAAAGGGTCTGTGGCAAATTAAAGTCATGCCGTTTGGATTGTGCAATGCTCCAGCAACGTTTGAAAGGTTGATGGAGCTTGTACTTATCGGGCTAATTGGAGATGCCTGTCTGGTCTATTTGGATGACATCATCATAGTAGGCCGTACGTTTGAGGAACACCTTCAAAACCTGGAACGCGTGCTCATGAAGATCCAGAGTGCCAACTTCAAGTTAAGTCCGAAGAAGTGCTCACTATTCAAACGGCAAGTTAGCTTTTTGGGGTATGTAGTGTCGGAAGAAGGTATCCGCACGGATCCAGAGAAAATTGCCGCTGTCAAGGATTGGCCGGTTCCAAAAGACAAGACACAGGTTAGAGCATTTTTGGGTTGGTGCTCTTATTATCGGCGATTTGTGAGGAACTTTGCAGATATAGCCAAACCTCTGCACAAGCTAACCGAGGAGAAGCGACATTTCTGCTGGGATGAAAGTTGCGATATTGCATTCCAGGAGCTCAAGAACCGTCTGTGCAAAACACCTATTTTGGGGTACCCTATGTGGGCAAGGAATTTATAGTTGACACAGACGCAAGTGATATAGGAATGGTGACCAAGAGATTGTGGTAGCATACTTTAGCAAGTCGTTGTCAAAGCCGGAAAGGAACTATTGTGTCACAAGACGGGAATTGCTTGCTGTGGTAAAATCCTTGAAGCATTTTTGCAAATATCTTCTGGGGTGGAAATTTCACTTACGAACTGACCATGCTGCACTGAAATGGCTATTGCAGTTCAAAAATCCGGAAGGACAAGTTGCGAGATGGTTTGAACTACTCCAGGAATACGACTTTGTGATCGAACATCGTAGCGGGAAATCTCATGGCAATGCAGATGCATTGTCAAGAAGACCTTGCCCTGAAGATTGCAAGCATTGTACTAGGCAAGAGGGTGAGGAAGTGGTGTCTGTGCGGATGCTCAGGACAGACCAGCTCAGCAATGAGTGGAAGGACAGCCTACAACATGAACAGTAGGAAGATTCGGACATTAAGTTCTGGAATGGATGAAGGCCAGTGCTCCTAAGCCCAAGTGGAGCGACGTCTCAGCGATGAGTTCGACCACGAAAAGTTATTGGGCACAATGGGACAGCTTGCTGATTCAGGATGGAGTCCTGTGCCGTAAATGGGAAAATGGTCGGGGAGACAGTTTTCATTTGCAAATGGTTGTCCCTAAGACTAAAGTACCGGATGTTCCACAGCTGTACCATAGTGGTTGTACAGGAGGCCACCTGGGAGTTAAACGAACTCTATTGAAGATACGAGAACAGTTTTACTGGGTCCACTGTCGTGACGATGTCGAGGACTGGTGCCGCAAATGTACAAGTTGGGCGGCTTTAAAGGGTCCTCAAATTCGTATTAGAGGCGCCTTGAAATTGTACAATGTTGGTGCACCATGGGAGAGGATAGCCATTGACGTTGCGGGGCCGTTTCCGGAAAGTGAAAGTGGTAACAAGTGTTTCATGGTTGTGATGGATTACTTCACTAAGTGGCCAGAAGTCTTCGCCATTCCAAATCAAGAAGCTTCAACAGTTGCAGATAAACTAGTTCATGAAGTCTTCTGTCGTTTTGGAGTAACGTTAGAGATTCACAGCGATCAAGAAAGGAATTTCGAGTCTCAAATATTCCAGGAAACTTGCAGAGTTATGGGTACTCATAAAACACGAACAACTTCTTACCACCTACAATCTGATGGAATGGTAGAACGATTTAATCAGACATTGGAAAGGTACCTGGCAAAAGTTGTGGAAAAACGGCAACGAGACTGGGACAGGCACATACAACCGTTTTTGTTGTCATATCAAAGCGCTGTTCACGAAAGTATATCAGTGACGCCAGCTTTCGCAAACTTTGGGAGAGAATTACGGCTGCCTACAGACCTGATCACCGGAATACCACCTGATATCCACGCAATATAACCGATTATGCAAATTACTTGCGGAACAAAATGAATGACATTTATAAGCACGTCAGACAGTCGGGCCAGCAAACGTCTGAGAAGAAGAAAACACGGTATGACCGCAAAATGAACAACAAAGGGTTTGACGAAGGTTCACTAGTATGGTTACACAATCCAGCTCGCAGCAAAGGGAAATATCTTAAGCATCAAGGTAAATGGGACGGACCATACCGGATTGTGACAAGGATCAATGACGTAACCTACCGGATACAGAAAGGTGCCAGAAGTACTCCTAAGATCGTCCATGTGGATCGAGTAGCGCGTTATTATGGCGCCAATAATGCTCAGGACGAGCATGTCTTAGGAGATGGCAGTGTTGCGCGCCACTATTAATGTCTTGTACATGGCAACACTAGTTACACTAGCACACTCTAGTGTCGAGTAGCAGAACTAGGAGAGTCAAGATCCTTCCAGAAATTTCGGGACCGATATGTACTCAAACATTCTAGATGTCGCTACAGTAGAAGGTTCTGGAAACTATCTGAGGCCCTATATAAGGCCGGTATAGACCACAACCAGGGCAGTATTGAATTGGCGATACAAGGGAATACTTCGAAGCTAAATAATTACGAACTAAAGTGATTGTGTTTTATTATTAGTGTGGTTTTAGATTGTAATAGTGTTGTGTAACTAAAGTGTCAATTTTGGTAATTCAATCGGCAGTTTTTAATTGCCTCGAACCCCAAGCTCGTAGCAATAGTAAAAACAAATTAATATTAAAATAATTTCATCCTACACCTAGTTTTATTCAGTATACTGTAAAGTGACGGTGTAAGAGTATTTACTATCTCATCATATCGTTCTATGAGTGTCGTAAGAGGCAACAGATGAAAACAAGCCAGGAGATTGTCTGCAGCGTCTTCCTGATAACAACTAGAAAATGAAAAAAAAAACAACGGCGGTTGCCAACCAGTGTGTAACTATGACATGTATCCCCCATTATAAGGGAGGCCTGTGTTCAGTAGTGGTGTATGATGGACTGTAACAATGATAACTGATCCTACAGTTAGATGGAAAACTTAATTAATTAATCTCTTTTGAAAATTCAAGGTTGCAGAGTTTGGCCCGCTGCCATGTTCAGTGGTTACAACGACCAGAAAGTTTTTCACGGTCCTCGCATCTGTTGTTATTTTCGGCAACGTGTTGCTCACTCGCCAATGGATCGGCGCCATTTTGGTTTTCTCCGGTAAGTAGAGATCTTGGATATACATTTTCTAGTTAGTTACCTAGGCAACTCTGCTGCAGAACAGCAAGGTTAGCGCTATCTGTCAGGTATCCATTACAGCCTGATAGTTTACTTGGCTAGTATATTTAAGATTTATAGGCTGAAAAAGCTAGTATAAATAAATACTAATTTCTAAATTTTTGAAAGCAAAAAGGTTCTTCTACATAATGTGCACTGTATTGTTACTACTTATAAACCAATACGATTTATATGTGTTATGTTAAGTTATACATCATTAATACTAAATTCAGCCCGAAACCGTGATTACAATATTGTCTAAGGTTTTTTCCCATCATATGAAACTTATGAAAAGTTATAAAAGTATTTTGTACCTTTTGTACTGCTCCGCTACACTTAATACACTGTCAATGGATTAGTCTTAACCGATAATTTCTCTATTTAAACAAAAATCAATGGTTAAAAATTAAAATTGAAACTATGGAATAAAATGAGAAAGTAGTTGGAAGATGAAACACATATAACATCCTGACTTATAGTCAGGATGTTATATGTGTTTCATCTTAGACTAACTTTATGTATGTGAAGTTAGCTCTATATATTGATTTTAATATCTATATATTGGTAATTTTTTTAGTCATTAAACGAATTATAATTTCTACGATAGTACTTAACAGTAATACTGTTTTATGGGTAATTTTCCTTTTGACTCGTATTCTACCTAGAAGTCTGGGTTAGCACCACCCTCTTACCTATTTATGTCGGTAAACAGCAGCGCGTGCACTGAGAGCCAGTCTAATACAAGCCGTGGAGTATTCCATCTTAGTCCTCGGAGGTGACCACGCATCTGAAGCCTTGTTTGAAGTTGGTTGCGGGAGTCCATGGGCTGCAGTAGCCAGTTATCGTCAGTAGTAGGTTCGCATGTCGCTTCAATTCTATAAAAAAAGACTTACAGCCATTTTGTTGATTATTAGAATGTCGTTCGTTAGTCAGCGATGAGGAACTGCGTGCGGGTAATTTTCATTTTCAGAAGGTTCGTTACGATCTCAAATGGAGAGTCATTATTAATTTGATTTGGCAAATTTAATGCTTTTTTTTAGTTTATTATGTGATTATGATGAGCGAGCATGATGGAGCGACGTTTTTGCAAGTGGCACGCATTTGGTGATTGGTGACCCATTTTCACAGTGGACTGCCGCAGGCTGATGTTGATGATATAATTATGTTTGCGCGTTTGTTTCAAGTTCGTAAGAACGAGAACAATTTTATCGCCAGTTTTATTAAAAAAAAACTTAAATGTCAGAAAAATCGGGTTAATTTTTAACAAAAGAACAATAGTTTTACAATTGCTCGTGTATTCTAAAAATACACCGTAGCAAAATGTTGACTAACAATCGTGGCTTTCATGACGGACTGATGCCAGAAAACTCTGCCAAAAAGCAGTGTTGTTATGTAGTGTCATATATGTTCACACTACATACACTAACACCATTACTCACACTCGTGATGTACACTAGCAGAGTAGAAACACGGCTGCAGCGGGTCGTCTAAACCGGGGAAGGACTACGCTCTCACAGAATGCGCAGCGTAACGTACATCGTACGTAACGCACGTACGTAGCGAGCGTAAAATAGCAGCTTAGTGCTGCTGTGTTTCGTATGGTGAATCGGTATCGTTTTTTTTTTACTCGTGACGAGGTATTATATCTTAGTCCTCAGGGATTAAAACGAAACACTAAGATTTTTAATCGAAGCTATATGCGAGTGTCTATGTACCACAGC